CAACAGACAGTCGCACGAATCACAGGGCCAAAAAAAAAAAGGAAAAGGAAAAAAAAGAGAGAAAAAAAAAAAAAAAAAAAAAAAAAAAAAAAAAAAAAAAGGAATGGAAAAAAAAAAAAAAAAAAAAACCGAAAAGAAAAGAAAAGAAAAAAAGAATCGTAAGGACACAGAGCAAACCTTGCAAGTGGGATGAGATGCCCAGAGATGTCGTAGGTGATCGTAAATGACCACGCAGTTGAGTCCGGCTGGTGGGCGAATCCATGGACTCGGTGCAGAGGTCACATATTGCTCCTCCATGATTTATGGACTTTCCTATTTCGGCTCTGTGATTTGTAGACTTCGCTACAGTTCATGGTACAAGGACACATTCGTTTTCCTTTTCCGGAAAAAAAACGTTAAAAAACATAGAAAATTTAAGAAACTTAATAAGTGGACAACCTCTGTACCACCCACTTGCTCTCTAGCTCACCCACTCACTCTCTCACCTGGTCGCTTGCACAGCTCAGATCCATCCCTCACCTCCTCCTTCGCTCCCTCCCTCCCTTTCCCAAATGTGGCTCCAGCTACACAATGATTCCCTGAGGTATATGCCTATGCATTGCAGACAAAGGGCACCACTGCAGGGTTTAGGGTTTAAGGTTTGCGTTAGACTTTGGTGGGTTAAAGAGAGTTTACCTATGCATTGCAGACAAAGGGCACCACTGCAGGGTTCAGGGTTTAAGGTTTGCATTAGACTTTGGTAGGTTAAAGAGTTTATTACTAAGCCGTCGAAAACTTACTCCATCACCTTCACCACAGTCAATCCTGGATATTTTTTCACAGCAGTGAATGGCCTCACACTTCCATCATGCTTTCACAAATTCATGGTATTTTTCATACGGTTTTTTTTTTTTCTTTTTTTTTTTTGTTTGTTTGTTTCGATGCTCAACATCAGACGGTTAACACAACAACACTATGCTACAACGTACTAGTTGCTATCTCAGTGCTCAATAACAGCCAGCTGAAACAACAACACAGTTTAACAATATACTACAATATACTGCTGACACAACAACACACAGCTTACAGCACACTCAATTATACTGTGCTTCTATAGTATATACCCGACACGCCACATACTCAACCAGAATGGCTTCACTGGTTTGACATTTGTGAAGTTGTGAACAAGTAGGAATATTGTGCACACTAGATGACCTGTTGCGGCTTCCCTTGCAAGAACAAAAATGACACGTGATTCATTCATGGTGGAGGCAAGAGATCGATGCTCTCTCTCTCTCTCTCTCTCTCTCTCTCTCTCTCTCTCTCTCTCACACACACACACACACACACACACACACACACACAT